ACTAATAAATATTGTTGTTGTCCCACCCATGTATATCTTTGTTCTAAGGTTGATGCTGACCCTACTTTCCATGAAGAAAATCTCGTATTTTCCACACTGGATCTTTTTTTTGCTGGAACTGAGACAACGTCTACAACCATCCGCTGGGCTCTGCTGTACATGGCCCTATATCCAGACATTCAAGGTAAATGGTAATGGTATATATTTCTAATCTCTTAATAGCTCTTGAATTTCTACCCTTAACCCTTGCCACATCGGGGACTTTTCACAGAACTCAGAATGTTGATTCATGAAATCTCTGTGCAAAGGTGCTTTCTTCCCACAGTAATCATTTTTCCCCATTCAGAAACCCTTTCTTTTATTGGAATTGTTTCTTTTTTCTGCCCTCAGTTACACCTCCAGCAACTACTGCAAGGGCATGGAGTGCAATCCACAGCTGCAATACCCTTGAATAAAGAGGAAGCTGCCCTTGCGGCTAATTAACAGGACTGGGACTCAGCATACCCAAGTGCTAGTCCAGGCTCTACCTCAGACTTTCTGTGTGACATTGGGAAAATCATTTAATCCTGTAAATGTGGCTTGTGGATTTCTAAAAGGTGGTCCACGGTCAGTGTCCTCTTCAGCCTTGAGATTTGATGCACAGAGGCTCCAAGGGGGACCTATGTTGAAAATAATGGCAGATATAATCTGCTTCATTTCATGCAAAATAGGTGCATTCCTTGGACTCTTTGCAAGCTGCTGGAATAACCCTGTGCCCAAAAAATTTGAGTCTTACCTCACAGAGAAAACCAGCGGATAAATATTTTCATGCTCCAATATTTCTTGGGTCAGACCAGTAATTGATTTGCTATTTTGAATAGGGACAAAATATGTATTGATAATGCCTTTACATTTGATTTTGAGAAGTGCAGTAAACGCCTCTTGCCTTCCATATAGGTATTAAAGGAGGTCTTCCTATTATGCCTAAATTACACTTTAAAATTCCTCTCACCTCCTTACCACTGCATTTGTCTCAGGCTAACCAGCTGTAGTTTTCTTATGTATTTGTATGTTCAGATCTCTACATTACTCACTGATGCTGTTTCCAATGCTTGAATCGAGCTTTATTAGGTATAGCCTTAAAATCAATGAACTCTAAACCCTGCACAATTTAAGCTTGTTGTTTCAAGAACGTATTATTCTTGGAACAATAATGAACTCTGCTCTTTTCACAGAGAGAGTGCAAGCAGAGATTGACGCAGTGATTGGCCAGTCTCGCCAGCCAGCCATGGACGACAGGGACAACATGCCATACACCAATGCAGTTATTCATGAACTACAAAGGATAAGCAACATCGTGCCTTTAAATGTGCCCAGAATGGCAACTAGTGACACAACACTGGCCGGATTCTATGTGCCAAAAGTAAGCTGGACAGAAATGTAGTTTTCACTTCTTATCTTGGTTTAAGAAATTAATAGAGATGAGCCCAAACCAAAGTCCCAGATAGAAACACATTCGCACCCCGGAGGACCCAGTTCTGAATCGGAACCCATTTTGGGAATCAACCGAGATCCAGAGCTGCATTTTACAGGTAGCCCCTATTTCTATATTGGGCTAAAATTCCTTAATCAAAACCTTGGGTGCTCACATTCTCAAGCTTTGAGGAAGTTGAAATCTAGATCAGACTTTTGCAGTCTGTCTTCATAAAACATGATGTAAGTTGTTAATTTTTAATTGCATGAAACCATAGTAAAAGGAGGACTAAGAAATAGGTCCAGCACAAGTTCACCACTATGGCTATTGACTCATGAAAGGTCAGCCAGGCACTTGGACGCAGAGACTTAAAGGTATTTAGGCACCTAAGTCTTTTGGAAATCAATGGGAGTTACGTGCCTAAATACTTTTCAGGGTCTGGGCCTTTGGTGTCTGCAGATGGGAGCGGCTGCTTCTTTTTA